GACCTTAATCAAACTATGAAATATTTCTGTAAATTTCCTTTTTTTTTTTTTTTTTGTGATAGTCTTCAGAGTTTGGATGACTTTAGTAATAATCCCCAATGTGGGAACATCAAAGAAAACAATAAATGAGGTGTGTCCAAACATTTGACTGCTAGTGTACAAATCTGCACAAATGAGCAGATTTTAAAGTAAAAAAAAACATATTAAAAAACTAAAAAGGCAAAATAAAAATGAAACACCAGAGCTGCAGAGTTAGTACACAGCAGTAACTAAAGGAACAGACTACACACCTGAAGTGAAGACGAGCTGGGACAACGTTAGAACACAAAGTATTGAAACGAGTGCTCCGACACGCACAAAACAGGAATGAAACAAAAAAAACATCTTTCAAAACGATCACAGCAGAGCAGAAAGCTGAGAACTTAAACCGACTGTCGGTGTCAAAAGAGCTCAGTATGTTGCCTAAACAACTCTTCTGTGAAGAGAGAGAAAGAAAGTGGCAAAAATGACGACTAAAGAAAATTACAACTCAACAGATAGAAAGTGACAAAAGAAAATAAACTGAGGACTTATTTCAAAAACAAGATCGACAAAGGTTCACATTTTAACAACCACTGAGATCTAAATGAGGGCTTTTTACACATTAGATGGATAGTTCAGATTTTTTAAAGTGGATTGTAGAGGTAATAAGTAGACAGTGTCTTACCTGCAGTTAAAGCAATCTGTTTTTGAGCAATCTGATAGAAAATAACAAATGAAAGAGTCAAGCTACCAGCTACTGTACCCTGATCCAGAGAGCAATCATCTAAAACTAGCATCAAAAACTCAAAAGTGCTTCAAGCATCATGTTTTTAAAGTTTGGCAGACAGAATGCATTTAAATATGTTCTGACGCATGACAGGTTTCACCAAAAATATTTTGCAAATGATCGCAAGCCATGTTCCCCTACAACCAACCCTCAGTGTAAAAAACTCACAGACGTCTGAATTAATAAAACTGAGAAAAAAATGACACACAGTTTTAATGTTTGTATCAGAGGTGCCCAAAGTGGGGCCCGCAGGCCAAACCTGACCCACCAAGCCATTTGATTTGGCCTTTCAGCAGTTGTCCTGATTACTAGGTTGTATTTTCCTGTATGTAGTCATTCCATCCTGTGGCCCAATGACTATAAGAGGCTTTCATGCAAATAGTCCACTCTGGTGCTTGATTAAACATTTACATAGGATTTAAATGCACGTGTATATTTGCAAACTTTATAAAAACTACAAATTCGTATATTTTTATGAATTTATGAAATGTCTCATCAGTGTACGTCAAACTTTCTCCAAGTGCACGAGCTAAAAGATATTTGTTTTAAAATTCAAGTTAGCTTGATATTTAAAGAAGAAATTCTTCAAACTGGGGTCACTCTGAACATTGTCCACTGCAGGTAAGATACTGACTGCTCATAATTACTGAACATAAATCCGCTTTAAAAAAATTTAGTTCCACATGTGCTCCTACTGACTACTACCTACTGACCTTTGTGTAAACTGGAATACATTTCTCCCTGAAAACAGACTGAAGTCATAATTTGTGCAACTTTGGAAAATAAATGAAAACAAACCACACTGTGTTGTGAAATCAGATTTACYGCTGAAAGAAAGTAATAAATCAGTTGTACACTGATGTATCACCGCAGACCTTTTATGATTAGGTGTAAAATAAACAAAAACTTTTTTTGAAATATACATTTTCCAAATACTAGTTTACTTTTAACTTTTTATGTGTTTATTTGTTTTACCAATTAAAACCTGAGATGTGAAGGATTTTTACTTTAGGTGAGTACATCATAAAAAACAAAATAGCTATAAATAGCTAGGTGTGTTGGATATTCCATGTAAAGTTAATTCATTTTAGAACACTGTTACTTAGGCCAAAAATATGTACTAAAAGTATACATTTATAATCATCATACATGAAAAGTATGGAACTCTGTGTTTGGTAGATTATTTCTTTGTTGTAACAAAGCTTCTTGCTAATAAATCTTATATCAGACAGCTTATTGGCAGCACCAGAAGCTCAAAACAAGAGTCTATATACAACAACAGAATAAACTGTTTGACAGGGAAGATGTATGTCCAACCCACATACTCAGCTCTACTGCTCATCCCATGAAGGCATGTTCCTTACAAATGTGGCACCATTTAAAGGAGAGCTTACCAGGCTATCTATGATTTGTTACCAAGAAGCAGTGTTACAACAAAGAAGTAATCTACCAAACACAGATCTCATTGCTTTTTGAGTAAAGTTTATTTGAAGCTACTTTCTGTCTGCTCAGCCTCAGCAGTATTTTCAGGTCGACACGTTCAGGTTCCTTCATGTCTGACAGAGACACGCAGCGACTTAATGACACACATGTGTGTCAGTTTGAGGAGTCACTGAACCAGATCTGGGCTGGATTCAGCCGCTGACCTTGGCTGCCGGTGACATGTTTCCCACCCGGCTTCACTCTCTCTCCCCTCTCTCTCGTCTCTCTCGCCCGCTGCCAGTAATTGCATGTCAAATCAATGTTCCCCTGAGCAGCCGAGCACAAAAACTTACCCACTTCTCAGCGCTCATTCCTCTAATTATTTTATTTTCTCCATTTAGCTTCACCTCCAACCCTTTTGATTGATCTCTCTTCTCTATTTGAACCTCTCTCTTTCCGCTTCCGTCCTCCCATCCCTCCTCTCCTCTCTGTTTTCCTCCACATTCTGGACTTCTCTTGCCGTGCTGCCTCAGCAGATCTGTCTGCTCCGTCCTCCCCTCCCTGGAGGGACCCCCTCGGCCTCCTCTGTATCCATCTCTTTCAGCCGCTCCATCTCCTCGTGTGCTTGTCCTTCCTCGCTCTTATGTCCCCCCCGCCATAAATCTTGCTGTCTGTCTTAATGAGATTCTCTGCAACAAATAAGACGCTTCCTCCTTACATGGCACTTTGGCGAGGAAGAAACGAACGCTCTGCTGTTCTCTATGTGTGTGTGTGTGTGTGCTCGGCTTTATTTCTGCTTGAACTCTGGTTTTCGTTCCTAAACAAGAGGAGTCTGGTTGTGCTTTAGTGCTCTGCAGCTTCCAGCAGCAGCAGGAGAGGCCATTAGGAGGCAGCTCTGAGGTGGTGACTGACAGGTTTGAATACTGATGGAAGGGAGAGTCTCATTCATTATCAATGAGAGGTGCTGGGCCTGCTTTGAGGATGACTTCATGGAGGGTAATGCTTGTTTTGTGACTTCCTGTCTGTGTCATCTCTGTGTTAGTGGGTCATTTCACACATCTCCTATTCATGAGCTACATCGGTTCTCCAAATAATGAACACTCGCGGTCTCAYAGGGTATAATATTTAAATATGTTGAATTAAAATTCATGAGAAAAAACAACACATAAAACTCCATAATTCTCAGTAGGTGGAGCCGAGGGTGGGGGTGATGGAGATGAAAGAGTTGCAGAGATGAAAGTGGAGAGAGAGAGAGAGAGAGAGAGAAGGAAGGGTGGAGGAACTGAGGAGAAACAAGCTTTCGAGGAAGTGCTGGCTGAACGGTGGTCGGTTCACCTGCAGGTAAACAGACACACAAAGAGAGCCTCCTGGGCTGCATAATCATGTTTTTATCAGCACGTTCTTYAAAGAGCGAGCTGATCTCACGGGCGGTCCGACAGGCTGAGATGAAAGAGATGAAACCCTGAAGTCACACGGTACACAAACAAACACATGCTTATATGTTTCACTTATGCATCAAACTCTGATTCTTCTATAAGTCTGTTGTTGAGAGGTTCATCAGCTGAGCAGCATCAGAGCCAGAGACCTCACAAGGCTAAACAACCTGATAACAAAAGGCTGGTTCTGTTCTACCTGGGTTATTATAGTTAACTAAAACTAACTAAATAACAACAACTGAAATTGAAAATAACATTTTAGTTAACTAAAATAAATAAAAACTGTAACAAAATGAAAAAATGATA